GGGAATAGATCAGTATTGCCCCCTGCATGATGACAACATTAAAAATGTGCCAGTGGCCTGAACTCACCAGCACCACTCAACACCTCAATGAGCTGTCTGGATTCTACAAATGGGATATCTTACCAGGGAGCTGGTACTCTGCATGGATTACATCTGCATTTTAAATTACAGCGCTAAATACCTGTGAGGGTAAGAGATACGGATCACGAGGCACTTCTAGTGAACCTCCAGAGATATCTGAATGATTCAGGCTCAGCAATGAGAATATCACAATTGCCCTCTTCACTGACGGTAGAAAGGCCTACGCAACACCCCTATGACGTCATTCACTATAGAACTGCAGTCTCCCCGTTTAATAGCGCAATAATTTTACATAACAATTCCACGGATACCCCTATATGTGCTCACCCGCACTGCCTGATGCAGTGTTATTCGCCGCGTACAGTGTTACAACAATCCGCTCACATTACGTCTGTCCCTATTCATAGATGAGAGTCGTCATGATTCAGAAAAGGCGCGAAGAATCTTTGTCGTGGCTGACATTAGGTTTCCCTACCATCTTCGTGCAAAAATGATTTACACGTGACGCAGGCACCCGGCTTTGTAGGTCGGAAAACCACAACCGGAGGCCCGGAAGCCCTGGCTTCCTGGGTAATCCTTCACAAATGCCCCGGACACCAAGCGCGATCAGTACCTACCAATAAACAGAAGCTTCCTCTATAAACACTGCAATCAAAACACAGCATCCTGGATGCACTCAACGAATCTCAGTCATGAAACTGAGAAGCACCCAAAGCTGTTACTGCTACAGTTCTTATCACGTGTTAGTTTCGAGATAATTAAATCCTCTTCAGTCGGCCGATGCACCGCAAAGCTATCATCGATCAAGGGCGGCGCTCCCGAGTGACGGCTGCCTTCATCTCGGTAAGCTCATCGGGAGTTCTTTCGCTGTCCCCTGACAGGTGACCTTGCCGAGTCGCCCCCACGCACCGCCCACTCCAGTGCGGTCCAATGCGACACGCCTCAGCCAGGTGACAAGAAGGTTCCAGAGAGAACAACTCGACCGCAGCCAGAAAATCGGTGCCAAGTTCGGCGGTAGCGATCGCGACGGTGACAAGACACCAGCGATGGCATTGGCGTCGATGGTGTCGAGAGCGATGCGCTGTCGATGCCGATAGCATGACTGGTAGCTGAACGGGAGTCGACTCGCCTGCTCCCTCTACCGCTGTCAGTCCCTGTTCGCTCGTCACCGGCACCCCAGACAAAGGCGTTTAGCATAGCGACGAGACGCAGACTGGGTGGAGCTCTGTAGTCGCGCCGAGCCAGGCAGTAAACAGGACGACTAACGACCTGGGAGCGTCTGTAAAGACAGCCCCCACCAGTCACCTGAGCGCGGCGACCGGGCCGGGACGGTCTCGGGGTAAGGGCTCCGGCTCTGATGATAGCGGTCCGGTCCGCGGATGTTGCGAACGAGAACAGCATGAATTTTACATGACGCTTGCAGGACATGTGCTGGACCGCGGTTACTACGCAATTCAGAGCATAGATACATTATTTATACATTGAATCCGAGCCCTGCTATTTCGAGACATCGGCTAATCATTTGAATATCTTCCATCTACTGGCCGTCGCACATATTCCGCATAACCCAGAAATGCCTCATCATCGGCGTTCCAAATATGGTCTCACCTTCCGTGTCCCTCCCGCGGAGGACGGCGAGACGTCTTCCCTCCTGAGAGGGTCAGGGACACACGACCAGCTGGATAACGACAGCTCTCTGCCAACCCAAACAGGTGCCTAGCCGGGCCGGGCCGAGCTGTGGACCCCTCCGTCACCGCCCGGACTGAGGCACCTGGCAGCTGAGGGGCCAGCCGAGGGCGGCGGCCAGACCGGGCGCCTCAGATGTCCTCCTGAGAGGTATTCTGTCGCCACGGGTGACGCGCAGCAGGGGCTGGGACGGCCTCCGGAGTGCAGATGACAATCGGTGTCGCGTTCGTGGTTCTGCCTGCATAGTGCATACTGCGGTTGAGCGGTGAACAGTAAGTCTACGCGCTCCACCGCCGAGGATGGACGTAGGCGGAACGCATTTCACAGTCGAGAGGCAGCGGACCATCTCGTCGGGCAAAGGTCACGCCAAATTATACCACCGGAATAGCCGGGTGTGATCAGGCCAGGAAAATGCATTACGGTCCGACTCCCGTGGGCACGAGATGACTATCACTGCGCCAATGAGCGAGATCGCTCCAGTGCCAATTGAAACGAGCATAGGCACTCAGCGGCCGGCTGATCAGCCAGACAGACAGCCACACATACAAACAGCAGCTGACACCAACCATGTCAGACAGAGAGGTCAAACGAATTCACCAAACCACCCGACGAGACCACCCAGCGTAATTCGGCCAGCCTCAATAGGTCAGACCACTTCACGTCGTTCGTAGTAACTAGCCAGTCAGTCGCCCAATTGTTCGACGCTCTGTGCTCCAACCACCGATCCAACTGGTTCAAAGACATGGGATGTCCCCGCTCTGAACAAGTTCTGATCAGTGATCACGCCCTTGACCAATGAACAAGTGCCCAGCACGACTTGAGTGCACTCCGTGAAAGCGGTTGAATGAAACTTGGAAGAAGTATTGAACGACCGCTAGACACGTCCTCACGAACTAAGCACATTGCCACGGCCCAAACAGGCCCCAAACCACGTCCCTATCACGCCCAAAGCACGTCCCGTCCACGTCCCGACTACCTACGTCCTCCCCTGAGGCAGGTAAAGTTGGGGCCTCGCAAGCCCGGCGGGTAAAGTTACCATACAACGCAAGCCTCATTATACTCGAGCGCCAATCATCAGGACAATCTGCGACACTCGAAATGTTGTTGCATACGGCATAATGAGGACATTCGTCGAGTGCCACGAGGGTGGTGTGGTGAAACTAGCTGAAGTGCAGCAACGATAAAATTGTGAGCGTGATTTGTCCTAAGCACGCTCTGGTATCAATTTGACGACAGAATCAACTGCAGAACGTAATAATTGGTGTAATTTGATAAATGCCAAACCTTGTTCGATTCGTTGAAGGTGAGCTATGGCTATTTTGAGCATTATTACGAATATTTTCGTGATAAAAATGACCTTATTCTCATGATACAATGAAATGAGAGTGAAATACGACCAAGAATATCATAAATGCATAGCATTTTTGGTCTACTTTCACTCTCATTTCATAGTATCATAGACATAAAGTAATTTTTAACACTATAATAAAATGCCAAGCCGTCAGTTTTGAGATGAAAGTATGCATTGTTGACACAACCACGCCTTTGGGCTTTGCGAGTTATCATTTCTGAAGAAATTTTATCTATGACAGTTATATACAGGTTTTGCAGAGATCAGCGGCGATATAACTCTAAGTAGAGCTTTTTTCCATGTGTGCCTTGAAATGAGTAATCATTCGTAAAATTTCTCCAAAGAAGCCATACCCTGTAGCTTGTCAAAGCAAAACGAAGGATAAAATTCACCATCCGAAGAAGACAAGGAAAGGTGTACCATGGCATGAAAGGCTTCGTGAAAGACTCATCGTCATATTTCATTTGTGACAGATTGGCACGCCTCTTGCATTTAACCCTTCACCCAAATAGCTGAAAAGCGTACTTCAGCAACGTATTATGGTAATCTTTATAGCCGCGCTGGTCTCAACGAATACTAGAGTGACTCGTAAACTCGATATATGACTGTGAGGTCCATACGATGAGCACTTTTGTCTTAGTGCCGCTATCAACGTTTTCCTTTTACGGTTCGGAATGTCTCGCTCCATCAAAAGAATGGCGGGTAAATATGCGCCTTATGCTTATCAACCGCTGTGAGAAAGATTTCATCCATGGAGATCGACGATTCGGCATGCAAGGGTTCCAATGAGCCAAATGCAATGGCTAAATTCATAGTCATAGGCACACTAATTATACAAACGTAGTTATAATTTTGCGTAAGCACAATGCCAGAACTAAAAGTGCAAAGGCACCTAAGGCTTGTGTCTTGTGATGTCACTTTTCGACGATATCCGAAGTCCTACCATTCAATGTCATCTTATCATATGTTATTCTGTGCGTAAAAAAACTACACTGATACACTGATAAAGTCCAAAACCACTCATGTTTTAGGACTAACAAAAAAATCAGTTTTCCTAAGAAGTGGTTTGTACACCCTGTTTAAAATGGCTAACATGTCATGTGACTGAAAATCGGTGATTTAGATGACAAACACAATCAGTAAGTAAAAATTAACGCCTGAAACACAAGCGGCAGTGATAAAAACGTCTTTTCCGTGTTCTAGCAAAACAATGAGGGATTGTCACATCACTAATCCAGGCGATGAAAAGCGGTTTATAGCACCCTCTCTACCAACAAGCTTATCGTCACCACTATCGGCTTCTAAACACAGCTCTCCTAGAGCAAACACACTCAGCTGTGGGTCGGAGAGGAGCAGCCATATCTCAGAATCATGCCACCCGCATAGGTTACCGACTAAAGAGACTGGCGTGACCGACTGCTATCTCCCAAAGTTCAGTCTGCCTGTGCATTTGAGTCATGTGTGCTGTGCGTGCCAGGTAGATACGCCAGCGTTATCCACACTTCTTGCTTACAGGAAATGATCCTGGCTAATTATTAAATTATTGTGGATGGTTGGACGGTCTTTCAGGAAGCCAAGAGCAGCATTACGGGCGATTGCATCAGCACTCGCCATCTCTAGCTTTGCACAGCCATCGAAAAATGGGGACGGTCCCTGTGCCAGCTCCTTTGGATGCAACAAAAGCACTTCCACCTTGCCAAGTCTCGCGACAAAAGCAAGTGACTTCTTTCATCCCATTCCTCCATGACCACCTTTGCTCCACAAATATCCACGGCAGAATTATTGGACTTGTCAAATCCCTCTACACCTCAGTTCTTCACCAAGCCACCCTCCCTCCCCAGTCAGCGCCTGTCCAGCTCTCCCCGCGGCGCTGCCCACTTACGGTGATGTCGCGGAGAAGGGTGACCAGACGTCCGACACGCTGAGTAGCGGGATGGTCAGCTTGGGCATACGGATCTGTCGTCCGCGCCGGGTCTGTACAGTGACCATGTGCCGGTTATGGATGGCGTCCCAGGCGGGCCGGTCGGGCCAGGCCGGGCCGCGGTCACCCTGCCAGATGTGCGGCGACACGATGCGCAGCGGCCGCGACGGCAGCTGGTGGTGCTGATCCAGCTGGTGCTGCAGCTGCAGCTGCTCCAGCTCCACGCCCCGCTGCAGCGGCAGCGACAGCTTCCCGCGCCCCTCGGCCGGCCGGCCCGACCCCGAGGAGCCGTTCTCGGGCGGCGGCATCAGCGCGGGCTGCGAGCCGCCGCCCGAGGACAGCTGGCGCTCCAGAGAGGAGGCGCTCGAGCTGGACATGGTGCTCGACACGCTGTGGTGCTGCACCACACCGCTAAAGTGCTGCTCAGCGAGATGGCTGGCGGCCTCCTCTGACACGTGGCGGCTGAGCGGCGGCGGCGCTCCTGCCAGCTGCTGCATGCGTGCCGCCCGCAGCTGCTCGCGCTGCGCGTGCTCGCGCAGCCGCTGGATGGTGTGCCGCGCGCGCGGAGACGCCAGCGGGTGACTGCTGTCCTGATCCAGCAACGACGGGCTGGAGGTGGAACGCAGCTTCGGCGGCCACTCCATGCGGCTGGAGATTACTCACACAAGAAACCGCTGTTCTCCACTCACTACAACACGTCCACAACTCAGGTTCACTGGCGCACCGTCCGCCTCGGCGCTGCGTCACAATAAGTCCCGTCCTCTGCGCTTCTGGGGCTCCCCGACACCTCTCGCCGGTTCGGCTCTCAAACGGCTCACTCGGCGCTCACTGGCCGTCCGTCGGCACCGACGACTCACTTCTCGAGGCGTATTTTTATCGCGGCACGTGCGTATCGGCCCGCGGTACACGGGGAGCGGGTGCGGCGCGCGCGACGGCAGCGAACCTCGGCGCTTGTCTGAGCCGGCGCGGCCGACAGCGAGCCCCGACCGAGCGCTCCGCCAGGCGGCGCTAGCAGCGGCGCACACGACGGCAGGCCAAACGGTACGGGGGACAGGCGAGCATTTCCGCATGCATATGGGCCGGGCGCTGAAGATGGAGGGGGAACAGAGCGACCGAAGTTCCGATACAAGGCGGGCTTGTAGAGAGGAAGAAAAAGAAGTTGCATGAGGTTCCAGGGTTCATCCCAGTCAGTTGTTTACCGTTGAAATGTTGTTGGGTAAAATGGGCAATATTCACCCGACTACTGAACCAAAGCTCACTGAGGTAGCGTTACAAACTCATGGACCTGACACTGGCATGGGCTGAGCAGACCCATAAGAAACTCCGAGCCCCACAGCGCGTGCCGCAGCTACCACCAGCTACCCTTCGGCCTTCCCCTTCCTGTGGGAATTCACAGCTGCTCCGCCCGCGAGTGAACACGTCAGAAAAAAAACTGTGCAGGTAGCACCAGCCATCCTTTGGTGACACGGCGACTCGGGCTAGACGCTATTGATCGCGGAGAGTTGTCCTCACTTCATCCCCAGAGGCTGTCGGAATAACAGCTGCAGATAGCTGGCCCGTCGAAATTCAATCTGCACAAAAATCAGATGATAAAGCTCTCAGGGAAACGGACAGAACTCCCAGCACGGTGCCTGCGGGGACTGCCAGGCACCGGCACAGTTCTTCCCCGCTGAGCAATGTGAAAGAAGAAGAAAACAATGCCATGGATGTGACAATATCACAAAACTTTGATGCATAAGGTCAGCTGACGACGGTAATTTACCGCTGCCATCGGCCAACGTATAGATCCTCGCCCGCGTCAATGAATATTTCAGAGACTCATAGAGTTCTTACCCGGAAGCAGACGATACAGCAGCATGTTCGACTCTGCCCCGCCGCCGCAGAACGTACCTTCTGAGCTGAATACCCCGAGGACATCGATTCCACTGAAACTGATGGAGCAATATCGCATGCCAGTGGGTACCGGAAGACACAAAGCGATTGGATTCGATAAGTAACAAATGAAGGCGGTGTTTGCGGCTTGACCTTTTATTAGGAAATTGCATGTGAATTGATTTGGCTTCATTTTTATTCAGCATAACCAATAAATGTAAGGGTATATAGTTACTGTATTGTAAAGAAGCAAATGCATAGCAATTGAACAAAATATTCTGCGCTTATTCTGCCGGGTTGCCAGAGTGGAATTCTCAGTTCCAGCGAAAACTACTACCTATCTTCTTTCAGAGAAGGCCGTTATCCTAAAAACGCACTCTTCCTGAGATTCGAGGAATTCAAGTTCCTTTGATTAAGCATCCCGAGGTCGTAAAACTAGAATGCCGTCCTGCATTTAGGTGAATAGGTTTCGCCGAACCAGCAGCAGGTCTAGTGGGAGCTCATATGTCTGAACTCGGACCACCGCTGGCAGCTGAAGGCTGAACTCACCCAATGAGGACATGTATTTTATATCCGTATTTCCTGAAGGAGAGTTTATCTAATGAACACAGCGATTTTAACCCGCGCCCGGCTGGAGGTCCTGGATTTCCACGCCCTGCTGGGGGGGGGGAGGTGTTTGAACACCCCCCCCCCTTGTAACTCGGCTCCTGGGCCACGTAGCGATACGCGGAAGGCGGCGTTCGAAAGAGCGTAAAAAATAATGACAAAATCACTTCGGTCAACTTTTTGGTCAGGTCGAAGGTCAGGTCACCAGAGGTCATTGAAGGCAAAATTTCGCCGATTTCCAGGTCGAATGTCGAAAATTTCCAAGAAGCCAACGCATAACTCGGGAACCAATAGAGCTACAGCGCCGCGGAAAAGCGCATTCGATAGCCCTATTAACGCCCCTTCTGAATAATCCTCTCAGATTTGACCTAACGTCAACGGTTTTGCCTGCAGGGGGCAAAAACTGCAAAAATAGCCGATTTTTTCGGAAACAGTTTTTCTGCAATAACTTTTGACCCAAGCCTTGTACGAGCCTACTTTTACCGGCATCGTGTTCCTCTCGTCAAGACGCATCGAATGAACTATAACTTGACCTTGAAAGGTCAACTTAAAAATTTGACCTCAGGTCAAGGTCATGACCTGACCGGAAAGGGTCATGTTGCATATCAGTCGATCCGTATCGTCGAGGTGAACACATATAAGGCGTTTTCATCGCTCTAGCATGCCTCTATCAAAAGTTATTTGCGAAAAACTGTTAGATACCATTCGTGACCTAAGATGACCTCAGGGCACAAACAAGGGTCACGGACACCATTTTCATGTTCAGTGTGTCTAAACCACTTGTAATTCGCTGTTTGGGAGTGTTCATAATGTCTTTCGTCCAAAAGAGGCGCATTTCAATTTTCTCCCATTGACTTATAATGGGGAGGTCGCAAAATTGACCTGACCTTAGGTCATCGATATCAAAATTCTGAGATATACATTTTGTACATGCTATTGCTCTTAGCAATCGCTGAAAGTTTCAAAGCGATCGGTCACTCGAAGTAGCTATGACAGACATTGAAACTTTTTATGAGGTGAGGTCACTTCAAGTGACCTGGTGACCTGACCTTGAATGACCTTGGTCTGAAATTTTCACAACATGTGTAGAATTGATGTATGATAAGGTGTACCAAAAACGGCTCTCTCCGCTCCGTTTGTAACAAAAGGCACTTGTCTGAATCCTCCACCGTCGCCCCGTGTCATTTCGCCCACCTGTTGTTGAACTGTTCACTGCAGCAGGTGTCACCACCAGTCCGTGTCATGCGTCAATGTGTCACCGTTAGTCGGTGTCATGTGTCAATGTATCACAGAGGGCGGATATGTCGCAGCTGACGAACACGACAGACGGAGCTATTTTGTTTTCATTGAAACAGTTTCGAGCATCCAGTCCCGGCAGCTCAGTTGCGGAACAGGATGGTCCACAGACACGTTACTGAGTAAAGACGATCCCAAGGATTCAGAATTCCCGGAAATGCACGCGGCCCGACCGCCTGGCTATTAGCCTGAGGCGATTCGCCCGTCAGGCCACCCGACAAGCTGATTGCTTATGCATTCAATGCGGATCTGCGAGGATTGGGAACCAGGGCTCCACAGCTGGGCCGGCATCCTCTCAGCATGGGACAGTGCCCGTACTCCGTTAACCCGCGCCGTGCTGGGGGGGGGGCGTTTTTACGCCCCCCCCCTCAGGTTTTTCGCAAATATCTCAAAAACGGCGGCGCGCAGCGCCGCCGTTTTTGGTACACGTGTTCCTACATCATTTCCGCACATGTTGTGAAAATTTCAGACCTAGGCCGTTCAAGGTCAGGTCACCAGGTCACGTCAAGTGACCTTACCTCAGAAAAAGTTCAAAGGCTCGCTATAGCTACACCGACTGAACGATCACTTTGAAACTTTCAGCGATTGATATGAGTAACAGTATGTATAAAATGTATATCTCGGATTTTTGATATCTGTGACCTAAGGTCAGGTCAATTTTGCGACCTCTCCATTACCTATAAGTCAATGGGAGAAAATTGAAATGCGCCTCTTTTGGACGAATATCGTTCAAAACGCTCTCAAACATCGGTTCATAGGTAAACATGACACACTGAATAGGAAAAATGCACCTGTGACCCCTCTGTGTGCCCCTGAGGTCATCTCAGGTCATGAACGGTCGCCAGCAGTTTTTTGGCTATAACTTTTGATAGAGACGTGCTAGAGCGGTGAAAACACGTCAGATGTGTTCAGCTCGACGATACGGATCGACTGATATGCAACATGACCCTTTTCGGTCAGGTCATGACCTTGACCTGAGGTCAAATTTTCAAAATGACCTTTCAAGGTCAACGAATAGTTCATTCGACGCGTCTCGACGAGAGGAACACGATGCTGGCAAAAGTAATGTCATGGCGCTTATGAGTCAAAAGTTATTGACGAAAAAACGTTTTTCGTAAAAACGGCTATTTTTGGAGTTTTTGCCCTCTGGAGGCTAAACCGTTGACCTGAGGTCAAATCTGAGAACATTAATCAGAAAGGTCTGTAAAAGGGCTATCGAATGCGCTTTTCCGCGGCGCTGTAGCTCTATCGGTTCCCGAGATAGCCGTTGGCAGTTTCCAAAATGTTGAAATAGTCAACATTTTACCTTTGGTGACCTCTGGTGACCTGACCTTTGACCTGACCCAAAAAATGACCTAAGTGTTTTCGTCTTTATTTTTGACGCTCTTTCGATTGCCGCTTACCGCGTGTCGCTACGTGGCCCAGGAGCCGAGTTAGACGGGGGGGGCGTGAAAACGCCCCCCCCCCCCCCCAGCACTCGGCGGAAAGTTCAGGCCACCAGCACGGCGCGGGTTAACCCGCGCGGGACTGGGGTCTCCAGCCGAACGCACGGGGCTGGGGGGGGGGGGGTAAATTTTACCCCCCCTGTTATCTTCCGAGCTAATGGTCCGATTTGGAAAATTCAAGCGCCAATCGAAAGATCTCATCACGAACAACTAAAAACATGTAATTAATTTAAAGTTTGAGGTCAAGGTCAAGGTCAGGTCAAGGGTACAAATTGCAAGTTTCTACAGTATCGGCCTTGCACCGTAGTTGCCGAAGAATGGAGTCATGGACTGAGACTGATTGCCCAAAACGTGTTCTTAGACTACCAAGACAATATTCGTTGCATACAATATCATTCAGAGGTCAAGGTCAAGGTCAAGGTCAGGTCAGGTCAGGTCAGGTCACCAAAAACAAAATATAGAAAAGGACATGTGCGACACATGTTTTATGGGTCATTTTATTCATATAATTCAATAGGCACACTCAATAGGTGATATGGAGGACCACATCTGGATGAATTTCAGGTCGAGGTCAGGTCAAGGTCAGGTCAAGTGAGGTCAAATTTTGAAGTTGGTTGTTAAGGCCTAAAAAGGTATCTATCTGATGCAGTTTTCCACGGCGAATCGAATGGTGCTATTTTTGTTTCCGTATGAGGACTAAAACTTCCAAAAAAATATTTTTTTTTCAAAAAATTTGTTTGTCGTGACGTCATAAAATTTGGAATAACTCCCACATTTTTGAACCGATTCTTCTAAAAATTGGTATGTAGGTAC